GATTTAGTTTTCCTTATTGTTGCGAGTTCAGTATCTTGATTTTAGGTTCTAGAATAATTCTGAAAAATTTAGGATAAGAGTAAATGAATATTGCAGATTGGTGGTGAGAGTTCGCATTCGACGTCACTTCGTCAGATGTCGGGTTCAGTACGCAGTCGAGAGGAAGCCATGACGGGTGGGGTGGCAGGATCATCGGGTGTGGAGACGATTGAACTGGTCGCGTTGAATTCGGATGGAGGTGCGGAAGGCGGTGCAGTGGGTGAAGCAGTAGAGGGTGTTGAGTGCAGAAGTAATGATAATAACGAGACCAGTAGTGGAGCATATCGTATGTTGAATGTTGCCGCGGTCATTGATGATCACCCGCATCGGTCGTTGTCGAAAAGGCGGCGAACGGTACGAATCGACGAAATGTTAATGGGCGCGAGTTCGAGCGATACTGCTACCAATAATATTAATAATAACAATAACAGTAGCAGTAATCACCATCAGTCACCAAATAAGGTTTGTGTGAATGTGTTCTGACTGATTTACAATAACTTCTGAGCTGGAAAGTGAGAGGGCAATTTTGCATTGCATTTCTCAGGTAGTCTACTTATCGTAGTTGATTTGGAATTGAGTTTTTAAAAAGTTGAAGGAATGTGAAGAATGGGAGGATGATGCGAGTAGTGGTCATCCGTCTGAACGCGGTATGCTGCCACCAACTTTCACTACGTTGTTGCCAGCCGACAGCCTTGAATTGCTGAATATTGCTGGAACGAGGTTGCTTTGTTCGTCATATCACATTGTCTGTTTTGAATATTTGGGTATTTGTCAGCAACGGATGTTCTAATGATTCCTTTGAAAGATTACTTTCGAACATTTGCAATTTCAGTGCTTCCATAGGTGAACATTTTAAAATGTACGATAGCAAAATTTCATTATCGTGCAAATGTCTTAATGTGAAGATCTTAATGTTTCGTGGAATTTTTATTTGGATAATTTGAATAAATTGCAGCAGACGACA